GAGCAGGGAGCCCAATGCGGGACTCGATCCCGGGACTCCAGGATCATGACCTGAGCCGAAGGCAGTCGCTTAACCAACTGAGCCACCCAGGCGCCCTAGTTGTGTATTCTTACATGCCGAAACTTCCACGACTCTTCAGTGAACACTAGGACTTCAGTTTTGTTTTAACTTTATCCTTACCTTTACAACCTTCACAGGTAAGTGCATTATAATGATATCCTGATGCTTTATCACCACAAACTACACAGAGTTCTTCCTGTTGCTTAATCCGAATGGAAGAGTGAGTGAATCTGGACCTTTTTATTCCAGAGTATCCATCTTTAGCATCATGGTCAACCACATAAGTGGGTTTATTTAATTCATAGGAACCAAATCCACATTCTTCACCACTGAACTGTGGGTCCAAGCTATAAGTGTTGAAATGACTTTGTAAAGATTGGGACTGTAGAGCTGTTGGAAACTGGACAGTAGAATACTGGCAATAAGCTGATTCTTGAAAATCAGTGCCATGCAGCTGATAGTTGATTTGCTCTGGCAGAATATCTAGTTGTTTTCAACATAAAAAAGAACAAATGGTAAAAAGTCAAAATTCCGTACTTGTTTTAAATATCAAAGAGTTTATGCTCAACAATTAGTTCAACATATCCACTATGTCCCAGGGACTTCCTGGCCAGCATGAGGAACAGGCAGTAAACTGAATTGCAGTGCATCATTAAGTGCTGCCATCTCAGTGGTATGCAGAGGTTGCTCAGGAGCTGGGAGAAAGGGCAGTCTGTTGCTAAGTCTGTGGCTTACATACCAATCCAGCCTCCCATCTTAAATAGAAATGCATATTTCCCAGAGTTTGGAAGGAAAGAAGGTTTTCCCATCTTTTGCATTTCCCTTGTGTGGGTACAACTGTTTGCAGTACAATCAGGTCAGTAAAGAGATGAATTAATACATTATCCCACCCCCCTCCAAAAAAAATCAAACTAAAGTACAATTTTACCTGGTTATTTCAAGAAAAAAAATGTTTTTGTTTTAACTCCCCATTAAATATATCTTAACACTCTCCTTTGCCATTTGTAGACCTGAATTAAATTATTAGTTTCTTTTGTGTTTTGTTGACTAACAATTCTAACTAGCAATTATCTGGGGATTAAATTCACCTAGTTTACCAGGTTACTATAAGGATGAAACAAAATATGGTATGCAAAGCATATATAAAATATAAAATGATGCTTAATGAATATAATTATTATAATTATTAGAAGCTCCCAAACACCAACTTACTTTCTTTTTTCTTTTTTAAGATTTATTTATTTATTTCAGAGAGACAACACACACACACACACACGCAAGCTGGGGGATGGGCAGATGGAGAAGGAGAGAGAGAATCCTTGGGCAGACTCCCGGCTTGATTCCAGGACCCTGAGATCATGGCCTGAGCCAAAATCAAGAGCCGGCCGCTTAACCAGACTGAGCCACCCACGTGCCACCAACTTACTTTCTGCTTCCAGGAAAATTTCTAAATCTAAATCCAGAAAATTGGCTCCAAAAGGACCCAGGAATACTGAATTGCTCTATATCGCTAACTAGTAATATTTGTACTTTTCCTGATGCTGAATCAGGTACTTTTAACCTCAAAATTCTACCACCAAGATTGGTGAACAGTATAATTTTTATTGACTTACATAAATCTCTTGCAATCTTATACCATTCAGTCTAATGCTAAGTGTTGAGAAAATACTAATGACAGCCTAATATAAAAAGAAAGGTTATCAGTAAAAACAATGTAACTGTGTTTTTAAAGAGGACCTTTCTTGAATGAGTGTCAAAAGACTGCAGAATACTAGCTGATGTTCCATTGGCATGGAAATTAGAATTCAGGTCCTAACCCTAACCTTAACCCTAAACTTAACTCTAAAAGAAAACTGCATTTAAAATTAAATTTATATAATGAACATTAAGAGGGCACATGATGTAATGAGCACTGGGTATTATATAAGACTGATGAATCACTGACGTCTACCTCTGAAACCAATAATACATTGTATGTTAATTGAATTTAAATTTTAAAAAACTTAATAAAAAATAAAAATAATACATAAATACATAAGTAAAATTCCAAAAAAAACCCAAAATAATTAAAATTTAAAAATTAAATTAAATTTACCTTATAGCCTTAGTCTTTTGGAGAAAATTCCTATTGTATCCTGCATTCTGTTCCTATTTCTTTCCCTTTGATAAAAGTCTTATATTAAGATGAAAATGTCAAGTATATTGAATAGCTACTCTGAGCTACATTTACTAAATTGCAAGTGAACTAGCTTCAACTAACCCCTAAAAATAACTTCTAATTTGCATGTTAATTCCAATTTTAAAAATTAAATATAGGGCGCCTGGGTGGCTCAGTTGGTTAAGCAACTGCCTTCGGCTCAGGTCATGATCCTGGAGTCCCTGGATCGAGTCCCGCATCGGGCTCCCTGCTCGGCAGGGAGTCTGCTTCTCCCTCTGACCCTCCCCCCTCTCATGTGCTCTCTCTCATTCTCTCTCTCTCAAATAAATAAATAAAATCTTTAAAAAAAAAAATTAAATATAATTTTAGACTATCATGCTTTTCCCTCTTTACATTTGATTCTGGCTTACAACATTTTAGTATTACTGATTTTTTTGAAATTAATTATATTCTTTTGTATGAGAATAATTTTTAAGTTTCTTATTTTAATTCCTCTTGTAGGGAACAATTTAAAGTCTTTGGTTTAGGGCGCCTGGGTGGCTCAGATGGTTAAGCGTCTGCCTTCAGCTCAGGTCATGATCCCAGGGTCCTGGGATCGAGCCCCGCATTGGGCTCCCTGCTCCTTGGGAACCTGCTTCTCCCTCTGCTTCTCTCTCTCTCTCCCTCTCTCTCTCTCTGTCTCTCATGAATAAGTAAATAAATAAATCTTTAAAAAAAAATAAAGTCCTTGGTTTACTTGTTAATTTCTTTTAAAAAAAAAACCTCTGTAATTAACCATAATGTCACACAAAAAGTGTTTTATCAACTGTTATACTGTAGCTTTTTGTTACATACCATAGTACTGTACTGGTTCAGCAAGACAGTAACCATCAGCTGTAGTGACATAAGTATTTGCCATTCTCTGCTCCAATTCTCATTTATTCATCAGTGAATGCTGAACTAGAACTGAAGGAAATAAAACTTTTGTAGACTATTTGAAAGTATGATCATCAAGTCAGCATGATTTTATAAAAGTACAATACGATTTTTGAAAAATAAAGAGTTTAGCAGAATTTATACATGAGATGTTTATATTTATCCTTTAACTGGAAGAATATTGAGTTTTCATATCTCTATACACCAAATTATTAATTCTGCCAATTTCTTATTGCTCAGCTCTTTACAAATAACTCAATAAATCTTGGTAATAATCAAGGTGGCTTTTGAAAGTTTAGCAAGCTTAGGTATTAGGCTTCATATACTGCTTTCACCACTTGTTTATGGGCCATTCATTAAATCTCCTTAAACCTTAGTTTCCTCATTTGTAGGAGAAAAATAATAAAACCCTCCTAGCAAAACTGTTGGGAGAGTTTAATTAATATATGTAAAATCCAGCACAGTTCTTGTCTTAATAACTGATTCTCATAATCGCTATTCTAATAGTTTCAAGATCTCAGTGTTCTAAATTAAGATGAATTAGGAAGAAAAACTAGACTTTTTCATGAAAGAAATTAAAGAGTAGGAAAAAATGGCTTTCAATAGCACTTGTTTTTATCTTCTAAATCCGCTCTAAATATTTTCATAGCTCTGTGATATGCTAAACATTAAAATATTAATTTTGGTTCTGCTTGACTAATTAAAATTTTATTTTTTTATTTATTGAAAAAAGTTTATGGACTACTGGAAAAAGAGTTTTATTTTTAATAGTAAAGCCTAGAACTAAAATGAACAAGTCAGGAAACAACAGATGTTGGCGAGGATGCAGAGAAAGGGGAACCCTCTTACACTGTTGGTGGGAATGCAAGCTGGTGCACCCACTCTGGAAAATAGTATGAAGGTTCCTCAAAAAGTTAAAACTAGAGCTACCCTACAACCCAGCAATTGCACTACTAGGTATTTATCCAAAGATACAAACAGTGAATCAAAAGAGCACATGCACCCCAATGTTTATAGCAGCAATGTCCACAATAGTCCAAATATGGAAAGACCCCACATGTCCAACAACAGATGAATGGATAAAGAAGATGTGAGGTAGATAGATAGATAGATAGATAGATAGATAGATAGATAGATACACAATGGAATATTACTCAGCCATCCAAAAGAATGAAATCCTGCCATTTGCAATGAGGTGGATGGAACTAGAGGGTATTATGCTAAGTAAAATAAGTCAGTCAGAGAGAGACAAATACCATAAGATTTCATTCATATGTGGAATTTAAGAAACAAAACTGATGAACATAGGGGAAGAGAATGAAAAATAAAATAAGATGAAAACAGAGAGGGAGGCAAACTACAAGAGACTCTTAACTCTAGGAAACAAACTGAGGGCTACTGGAAGGGAGGTCGGTGGGAGGATGGGGTAACTGGGTGATGGGCATTAAGGAGGGCACTTGATATAATGAACACTGGGTGTTAGATGAAACTGATGAATCACTAAGTTCTATCCCTGAAACTAATAATATAGTATATGTTAACTAAATTGAATTTTAAAGAATTGTTTTTAAATAGTAAAGCCTAAAAATCATAAGCTATTATAAGAAAAATTATTCACAATCTAAGATGATCCCTTAATGGGAAAAATGATTTATTTTTGTTATTTCCTAGAAAGGAACTCCAAAAATTTGAATAAACTTAAACAGGAAATCACAGTTCAAGAAATTGAAAATTATTGGGATAAAGGTCACTCTAGAGTCCATAGTCTTTTATAGCTTTATCATCTCTATTAAAGATAAAAATGGTTTTCACCTTTAAAAAGAACCAAAAAAAAAAAAGAAAATGGGTTTTAAATCACGCCAAAAAATTTATGTGACAAACTTTTAGCCTCTGAGATTATACTGAAAAATCTTTTCCTTTGATTTATTTTTCATGTGCGAGCTTCATGGCTGAGGTTTCTACATCCATGAAGATGATTTCAATAGTAATATCTTTGAAATTTGTCCCCTTTATCATCTAATAGAATGTAGGTTCTTCTAAAAGCACTTGAAACTCCCAGTCTTCTGACAGCATAGCAGTAGTCCTATAGAATAAGCACTGGATAAAAGAGATGAAGCAAAAGCAGTGCCCCCAAATAAGTGAAATTTTAATATAAAGTTTCCCTTGAAAAGTCAGGACTAAAATCAATAAGATCCGTCAGTCTACACTTCCGTGTTTCTATATTGCAACAGGTCAATTGGCTCTCCATATAGAAACAATTCTGAATGCTATCCATTTAATACGTGTGATACTTTGTAGCAATGGTTCTGTTCAGTTCTTTCCAAACTTCTCTTTTGAGCCTGTTAGGTTTTAGAAAATTATAAATGAACCTGAAAACTTGAAGTTGTTACTCACCCTTCTTTTAAAATTACTGCACTTACCATTAGGCTTCATATAATATCGAACATCTGAAGAAGACTGAAAATTAAAATTGGTACTACTTAGATACAGCCTTTGCTGAGTGAGAGTTTGAGAAATAATATAGAACGAACGAGAGGTAGCTCATTAAAACAAAACTGGTGATATCCTGACAAAGACACACATAAGTATCTTATAGTGATGCCACTATCAGGGTTCAAATCGTAAATAACAATGTCCTGAAACCAAGTCCTTCCAATACTGGTAGATAAACACCCAAAAATATTATCTAAAGTAGACCTGTTTGTTTTTTTTTAAAGTTTATTTATTTATTTAAGTAATCTCTATACCCAAAGTGGGATTCGAACCCATGACCCTGAGATCTAGAGTGGCATGTTCTTCCAACTAAGCCAACTAGGCACCCAAAGCAGACCTGTTTTTATGGACTAGTTATATTCCAGGGCATTCATGGGACCTATACATAAAGAGGCTTTGATTAAAAATATGCCTTTTAAAATATGAAATATTTATGTTTTATATGCTCATAGTAATATTGTATTATTTTCTACATAAAATTTTTCACTAATTAAATGTTCTTCAGCCTTTTAGATGTTTAATAGAAGTATTATAATATGTATGCATAATAAAACAAAACTTTCAGAAATAAAGTATTCATACAATTAGTTTAAGAACACTTAAGTAGATTATTAATAGCATAGAGGGAGGTATGTAATCAAGAACTTCCTATCTTATTAAAGAGAAAAGTTACAGTAGGCCTGGAGGGATTCTGTTTTGTTATCTTTCCTGGTAAATATTTATTTAAAAACAAAAATAATCAGTTAAGAGAGGAGCTTTTATCTAGAGGATCAATTTGGCATGGGCAAAGTCTATATTTTTTTTCATTAACAAATATAACTTAATAAAATAAAGCTGTATTTTTCATAGATTATAATAGCTATTTTACTGAAAAGATGCTTAATTGCAGAAATGAATTTGCATCTCCTCTGCCTTAACTAGAAATCGTGCTTAGTAAATTTTTACATAGCCAGAACTTTAACAGGAAAAACATATTGACTCCTCAGAACTATATCCACACGTTAAAGAATTTTACAGTTTTTACATTTTTACTCTTGCAATATATGTCACATGAATCATGAATAATGCATTGCATAAAATTAATATAACTGAAAAGTAGATGGCATCACAAGAAAAGCTGAAAATTTCAGTTTTCATAGTAGCCTCTACTAAAAAAATGAATGATAGTGCTCTATGATACATAATTATAAAAAAGTTTTTCATAGTAGAGATTCTTTGAGCCAAAATTCTCTGAGCTTATTGGAACCAAGGAAAATGAAAATGAAAATGATATATTTGAATAACAGCACAAATTAAGGCTTCTTGATTTCTTTATAAGAATCTGTCCTTTAACCTTAGAATACTGGGAGGATTTTATACTCTGAAGTCTTCACATAGAGTTTTATTATACAGCTTTATTGAGATGTAATTTACATAACATAAATTTCACTCTTTTAAAATGTACAGTTCTTGGTTTTTAGAATATTCGGAGAGAGTGCAATTATCACCACCATCTAATTCCAGAGCATTCTTATTACTGCAAAATGAAATCCCCTACCCATAAACAGTCACTCCCCGTTCTGTCCTCCCCCAATCCCTAGCAACCACCAATCCACTTTGTTTCTATGTATTTGCCTGTTCTAGACATTTCATATAAATGGAATCATACAATTCCATATATAGTTTTAAATGAAAAAAGTATTTAATTAATATTATGTCAAGTAATTTTCACAGCTTAAAAAAGAGAAATCACACTATATATTTAGAAAATTCATGACTATGAAATTAATAAATAATTCAGAGATATAGAAATATATTTTGTGTCCATTCCCATAATCTGGAAGAATTTTTATAAATTTTTATAATCATAGCATTTTGAATAGAAGTATAATTCCCTGAATACACCTTTATCAGAATATATGTCAAGTTCCCTTGAATTCACATAAAACCTATTGTTTCAAAAAATACAATGTATTTTAAGAATAAGTTCTTGATTAAAAACAAGTTTCATTTTAAAATGTAAGAGTAAATATCACGGTGAATCAAGTTACATCATTACATCAAATGTTACCTGGAGTTCAACTACAGCCCAAAATTGCCTTGTCATTCTTCAGGAGAAAACCAATCACTGTATAATCTACTTAAATTTCTCATTTTCAAGGAGCAAATGCTTTTTATAGTTTGACTATCATAGTAACAACAACTGGCTTATTCACTTTACAAAAGCTAAAATGAATGATGGTGGAAACTAAATAGAGTTCCAAAAATACCCTTAACAGCTTACAGTTTAATAATAGTTTCAATTGCCCACAAAATTAACACTCATATTTAATTGAGACAGCATAAAATTATAAAATTTTGGTTATTGAGAGAAGACAAAATACTCACAGTTAAACAATATGACTAGAGATTGTCCTTTTCCTCACAGAACGAGGATAGATGGATTTAACAACGACTTCAACTTTCCAGCTGGAGCAAACTGGACCTTTTCCCTATTTATCAAGGAGCGGAGAGGGGGGCACTCTGCATACACTTAGGCTCCAGACACTCTGCAGAGCAACGCTTCAGCTCTATCTCATACACAAACTTCCCACACAATCCTCTCTTGGGTCAAAACAAGGGCAGTTATTATTTGACATAAATCAAATAATAACCAGATCATCAGGGATAGAGGTCTTTGGGACCTTCAGGTCACACTCTCCCAGAGTTCCTTATTGTTTACTTAATAAATACTTTGTTTTCTTGATTAAATTTGACATTCTCCCATTTTGGTTACAAAACACTGGGTCTCTGGAAACTACTAAGCAATATGCACAGGAAAGGAAAATCCCTCATTAATTCAAACTCCACTAATACAGGTGTTATAACAATCCAATCTGAAGTTGATCTCTGCATCACCTACCAAAAAAAAAAAAAAGTGTTAATCCAATTAGAGTTTGAATAATAATTCAGATGGGTACAATAGTGTATATGTACAAGTCATCTAGTCCAATCCTCTCAATTTTTTGGCTTAGAAAAACTGCAACACAGATAGATACTACTCCTTGTGCAGGTACTCATAGCTAGTTAGTAGCAGAGGTGAAACTCAATGCAAATGCAAACAGCTGAACAGGATATATAGATAAGTCCAGTATGATTTTTTAAATGTCATCTATGATGTTTTTTAAAGATTTTATTTATTCATTTGACAGAGAGAGAGATAGCGAGAGCAGGAACACAAGCAGGGGGAGTGGGAGAAGGAGAAGCAGGCTCCCGCCAAGCAGGCAGCCTGATGCGGGACTCGATCCCAGGACCCCGGGATCACGACCTGAGCCGAAGGCAGACGCTTAACAACTGAGCCACCCAGGTGCCCCATCTATGATTTTTTTTTAATGTCATCTATGTAAACAAAGTTTGTTGGATACCAAGCTCATGGCCTCACCCCTGCAAGGCATTTCTACAGAGGCAAAGTTACAAATGTGTTCCACCACTAAACTCCCATTCTCCTGGGCACACCTCCGCTGACTCGCCTAATGTACAGGACTCTAGGCTCTGGTCTCTGTCCTCCCCGGTTCTACTGTCACATTCACGTGGCGCAGGATCCATTTTTCTACCTTTCTTGGCATCTGATCTCAGTCCACATTCAGTTTCTGACTTCACAACCACTATATTGACGCTGATTTCTTCCAGGGTCCTTATCTACTCCTGGGAAGAATTCATGATAAAATCTCCAAGTCCTTTCACATGAATTTTATTTCTCTTTTAAAATAGTAGTCCCTGGGGGCGCCTGGGTGGCTCAGTTGGTTAAGCGACTGCCTTCGGCTCAGGTCATGATCCTGGAGTCCCGAGATCGAGTCCCGCATCG